TTCGTATAGATTGTCATTAATGGCAGGGAAGTGCTGTCCGATGGACAACACTTCACCACGTGAAGCGCAATCACTTCTCATTCAGGTCGCACTGAAGACCTGAATGAGCAGTCCTAGAGACTCGATGTGGTCAGTCAGGTTATCAGTTGCGGCCCGGGGTAATGTGCCCTATACCAATAGTTGTTCACCAGTCCAACTAGGTCTCAATGTCGACGGCCTGATGGATCTGAACGGGGGTTCGCCTGTTCCCCTGTTATCTAGAGGTCCGCCTGTTCCTCTAGAACAACCTACAGTTTTTGTGTGTATCCTCAGCCAGCTTTGAGTACCCTGGGTAATGTGCCCTATACCAATAGTTGTTCACCAGTCCAACTAGGTCTCAGCTCGCTGAACGACATGCACAGAGTCAAGCATGCCCTCTGCAGTCTAGAGATTCGCCTGTTTCTCTAGATAAAACTTAGGTTAGCGAGAGCCTCTAGACAGTTGGGCGGAACTGTTTTCGAGCACTTCTCTGCCCAAAATATATGCCACAAAAATGTGTTCCAAGTTATTGTTGTCTTGCTTAGTTGCCAGTTGTTCGATTTTAACTATCTGTCTCTTTTCCAACATATTCAACTTCATTAAGTAGACGGTATATTCATTATACAGAGCTAGGAAGGAGTGACAGTGTTGTTCTCAAATGTATAAACATTTCAGATGTAAATATTGAGAATTTCTTTGAGATTCTAGGCATTCAATTGAGTGCCGATATTATTTTCACGGCATACTCATTATACAGAGGTACAGTATGTAGGCAGAAGCGAGGCAGTGTTGTTTTCAAGTATATAAACATTTCAGACATGAATATTGAGAAAATCTTTGAGAATCTACGCAATAATACACTATTATGTTATGAATTACCGGCATTCAATAAGTGCCCATCGATATTATTTAGACCGTGTATTCATTATACATTGTCATTGACTGTATAAGGTGCTACATCACAGAATTGATGGCTACACTCAGTACAAAGAGCGAAAAATTGCATCAGATTTGTATCAGATCAATAAAGCATAAACAACTATTAAACAGAAGCGGGTGTTTGTATGGCGTTTACGAAGAAAATAACTTGCGAGACTAAAGAAATCAGTTGAGTCAGAGAGCTCCTTATTTAAATAAGAAAGACGAGGAGATAGCCAATGTGTTATATCGCCAACGTGGTATCGCCAATCGCTTGGCTCGCCAACAAGCTTTATGCAATAGAAGAAAAAAGCAAGGAGGTAACATGTAGCCAACGTGCACCGTCACAGACCTTGTCTTTGTTTACTGTCTAGCACAACGCCGTTGTCAATGGTGCAAACTTGTGTTCAGTGCAAGGATAACTCTACCAGATCTTACAAGAATCAATCTGTAGTATTCTGTACACAGAACTGTATCAAAGCTTGTCAAAACTGCTTTAAACACTGCCTAACTGTGAAACTATTGAAATCTAAAGTGGCATTATTCAACACATGTGAAAAGCTGAAAAGTCAAAGGTCAACGAGACTTGTTAATGTGAAACATGTCACAATTAGGTTAAAATGCGGAAACGGATGGAGCGGATCCACGGAACGGATATGCGGATAAAATACGGAACAGATGAGGATAAAATGCGTCCTTTTAATGATGAAACGACGTAGTGCTTATCATTCATAACATATCTTATACAGCTATTTCAATTATAGTTTTAGATAAATTTAGCATAGCAGTAGCCTTGTGGGGATGCTTTTAGCGACAGCTGCAAATGCAAATGAAAATTTAGAATATGCAAAATTTGGTTTGGTGAAACAATTTAAATTTCGAATTGTTGCGTGTAGCATCACAATAAATAGATAAGTTGCATCAGTTTCACAAGGCACGTTTCTGATGTGTTAGGCTTGTTTCAAACGTCACGCCGAGCATATTAAAAGCAATAAATGAGATGAAATGCCTTTGGTAACTGTTTATTTCGTAGTGTAAGCCATCAGCTTTTCTAGGTTGTCAGCAACCCTATATAGTTCTTGCAGTGTCTTTTTCAATTTGAAACTTCACACTATCCTTGGATCCCTAGTTATTATTAAATTAACAAGAAATAGGAAAAGTATGATGGCAGGAATGTTTGTGACAACAGCATATTATATTACTGGTAAAACAGGTAATGAGCAATGTAAATATAGATTTCATATTAGAGTTCAATGTAAATAGTATAGAATGTGTTCAAGAAGCATGAAGTATATTGTTGTATCAGATTACGGAACTTGAGAAGTGTGATAAATTGGTGTTTTACTGGCTGAATATTATGCAGTACCCTTACAGTACAGTATGTCAGTCTCTTTCAATATGCATGCAAAACACAGCTGGCAGCCTAATGTCCAATTTTAACAAATGATTTTCTAATCATAATACAACATACAAGCAACAACTACCACTGTAGCAAAGCGAAACACAAAAATCAGGGCTTCAAATTTGAATTTTCTAGCAGTATCCAACAGGATACCAGCAACTTAAAATCTAGTATTCCACCCAGAAAATATAGTATCCCACATTTGATTAATAAACTATTTTTGTATTCTGACCAGAATTTTTTCGGTATCACTTGGGAGACTTAGCTTGTGATTTCCAGTATGCGTCTGGATATAGGGATAACACAAATTTCAAGGCCTGCAAAAACTGGATCATTCACATGAGCAAATTAAACAACATTTTGTATTCATACATGCTAATTGTTAATACAGCTGATTCAATTAAGATTGTCCTTCTAAAACCTTAAACCTTTAAACTCTGAGTGCACAAGGGATGATGGGTTTTCACTTATTAGACCCTTAAACGCAGAAAATTGTCTTTGCGGCAAGTATGTTTTCTGTCATGAGTCTTCTATATGTCTTAGGTATTCTCGCAAAACCAAATTTCATAGTTTGAGTCTAAAATTAATAAGCAATAACCCATCATCCTTTGCACGCTCACAGTTTAAGGTTTAAGTTTTTGGAAGGACAACCTTAATTGAATTAGCTGTATATTATTATAGCAATCAAATTTGAATAAAGTGAAAGGACCTAGGGACCTGGCTAACAGGCTAAGTCTTGATGGTTAAAATAAGACCAGAATCCAAAAAATATAATATAGATAATATATTTAAAGTATATAAACATGAAAAAAGGATATTGACATAGCATATTTATATTGTTCTGTCTACATGTTTATGACTTGTCCGAACTTTGTTTCAAATCCTTTCTCAGTCCTTTCTTTTTGTTTTGCTTCTCTTTTATTCTATATCGGGAGACATAGTCTCTGGCATATGAGAATGATCTCACCTTCAAATACAGTTTGACAATGTTTTCAAGGCATAACTTCTGGGTATCACCAGATGGATTGACACCAGATGACATAACAATATTTTGCCATAATGACTTGACAATTGGTAAGGAAAGGGTGGAATAGCAGATTGCATCGACAGGAATGTTTCGAATAGCCAGCTTTGACTTGTCAACTTCCTTTCTGAAACAAATCTCTGCTTCATGTAAAATTCTTACAATATCCTCACAAGGTGTTACAAGACCACCTCTTGTTCAGGCTAAAATGTAACTGTTGTTTTCTCGTTCTGATTTTAAATTCTGTAACAAGGCTTGAAGTTAATTGTTTTCCTCTTTAGACTTTGATGCTCTACTTAACTTTGAAATTACATACCCTGAAATATAGGAGAGAGGACCATGTTCGCTTGGCTCAATTTTGCAGTCAGGTGCAGATTCTGTGTCTCTTTCTTGGGAAACATTTTGCACGTTTAAAAATCCAACCAAATGATCGGAGATGTGGATCATGACAAGGTTTGCAACTCGCGAATCTGTACAGTTTAGTAATTCCGCGGACTTTGGCATTAACCCATAAAACGACTGGAGAAGTTTATCCTGATTTTGGCTTCGAGAAAATTTTGTGTATAAAGGCAACACTTTGTCGAACAATTCTTTAGTCGCTGTAGCCTTTTTCACCGCAGCATTTATATTTTCCCCGTACAGCTTCTCTTTAACAATGTTTTCTTTTATCATATCCACAATCGAAGTTATGGTCTCATAACAAAGCGGTGTTGTAGTCGAAGGAATTGAAACACTATCGCCATGTTTCGAATTAGTGTGCCTGGTCAATCCGCCTTTCGACTTGCATATTTTGCTGCATTTTGAACAGGGAAACGATTTCAAGCCTTCAATTTCAGTCACAGCTTCTGCAAATTCATTTTCTACTCCTTGATCGTCAGTTTCTATGAGTTCAAGAGCAATATCTATGTTGTAGAATACATGTGCGTCGGGCATAATATCCTCTTGTTCACTCCTCGTTGAAAACACTGGCACAAAATCGCGTGTTTCTTCCGGTTCTTCATCTGAATCTTGCTCCAAAACCTCCCTCATTTCTTGTTCTTCCTGCAATTTCTCTTACGCATCCATGACACAAGTTTCAGGCCAAAAAATATATCGCAATCTGGTGAAACAGCTGGAAACCTATGTAATTCTATACTATTTGTCCTGAGGCGATGCACACTATCAGTCGCGTGATTTTTTTGTCCTTTGATGTGCAACATATTTGCCGCCCCCCTTTGAAGTTTGCCGGCTCTCCAAACCATCTCATTTTATTAACTGTGATGTAACATATGGCCCGTATATGTAACATATGGCCCGTATATGTAACATACAGCCCGTATATGTATCCTACAGCCCGTATATGTAACATATGGCCCGTATGTGTAAAGACGAAGCTTAGCAAAACACTTATCTATTTCTTTTTGTCGATCTTCCTTCCTCTTTCTTGTCTCTTCTTCTCGTGTGATGCAATTACGACACTTCCACTCAGGATCCTTGAAATCCCCTTGTTCGCAACTACTTTGGAACCATCTCTGGCATTTCTTGCATTTACTCCATTAACTCACCATCATCAGGCATGGTAACAGTGACAATGTACCCAACACACCCATTCATAAAGAAACTTTTGGATAGGAGTATCCTTATGCTGGGATGTAAACTTCAGGTATGATGGGAAATCTCGATCAACAAACACATGAGAGTGGGACCTAACATGCCTTGATTCCATTTCAACATGATTGGATCCTTTCCAAAACAGAGGGCGATAGTGTTTGATATGGCAAACAAGCCACAGGCTGAGCCACCTTTCTGTTGCTGCACGTTAGTGACAACCATTTTAACGAAACCCAGTGGGCTTGCTATTCTGCAGACGCACTGCTCAACATCGACTGGATAGCTGATCTCCTTACCCTTTCGATTAAGGTTAACAAAGCTGTCATAGATACGAACTTCATCAACGCAGGATTTGATGTTGGATAGTGTTATCCAGTGATTTCCACGGACATTAATGATCTGGACAAAATGCTTGCGGTTTTCTTTGGTAAATCCGTACTTAACAGCAGGAATCACATCCTGTAAGCCACCAAGCTCGGCCGTGCATGGGTGGAGTCGCAATATTTTGAACACCGCCATAATAATACGATCGTTTGCCCAATGCCCCTTTTCCAAAATTCGCTTGTCAGATAACTTTAAACACAGTTCTTTTATCCAGAAGTCTTCTTCTTCTACAGATTGTGATTCATTTTTTCCTGATCGTTTACCGGTACATGTAACGTCAGGATCACTTGGTTTATCAGGAGGACGGCTAGAGAATACGTTGGGTTCACTCTCCTCGGGGCAGTCAATTAAATGGACAGGATAGCTCGTTTTAATAAATGGAGGTGGTTGCTTTATCTCTGTGCTTTCCTTAGTGTTGGAAGCTTCGGCCTCTGATTGGACGGCATCTGACGTGTCGGACCCCTGAGTGGAATTAGCTGACGGCATCGTATTTGTCGTTGTCGGCGCCGTCACTGATATCCTCTTTGTTTTGTCCAGTACAGTGCGTCGAAATTGACCTTCAGTTGCAGTGAAGGAGGATAACTGTTCGATTTCATGAATGTTTCTTTCATTGATGCGTTCGTTCAACGTATCAATATTTGATCGGAACAGGAATATGTGATTTACAGGCGTCATTGAGTTCAAGAAACGGTTATCTCTGTTAAATACGTTGTATAGCTGCTCCTGGCGCTGCGTGTTGATTAGGCCATTCAACTGCCTAACGTGCGTTACTCTCTGCAATATTTCCCGTTCTTTTCGAGGGTTGCTTTCGTGAAACCTGTAGAACAAGCAGAAGTGGTCGTTTGAACCTGTGATAGGATGACCAGTAGGTTGTTGGTTTCCTGTTTCATGCGTGATGTCCACCCACCAAAACATCCCCACAGCTGTTTCATGGGCGATGTTCAACCAATCCAGTGAGATGTCAAGTTGGTGCGTTTTGGCTCGTTCAACATTTTCTGATGTTGGGTCCACCAGCATGCCATTGTGAGGAGAAAACATTTCTTTCTTTCTTCGATTTCCGTGGGCTGCAACCAGGTTTGCAACATCAACCATAGTTATATTTGGTTGATGTTTCGTGGATAACAAAATGTCAACATAATCGCGCGGACTCTCTGAACGGATGAGGAATTTCAATGCGTATACAACTCCATGTGGACAAGTTCCAGAAGCCCACCCACCAGAACATCACCACAGTTTATTGAAGGCTTTCTTGAATTTCTCTTCATCATTCTGAACTGCGTTTTTAATGTTCATTATTATGTCCAGCTTACTACCCTTTCCGGCCAACCCGAGTTTCTTGGCGAGGGACTGTGTGTCTTTAAGCGTGGACTGGTGAAGTAACTCGAGCAGTTGTTCTTCAGTTAGATCCCGACAATCTTCTTCGATTTTTCCATCTTCTATCTTGACTTTCCTATGCTCAGTGTTGTTTGGGCACATTTCATGCTGCCAATGAAAGGTGCCCAGTTGAGCAAGTTTGGTTGTACGACGAATTCCCGCACGCTGGCACCAGGGAACCCGCAAACAATCATTCATAATTCAACATTCACCCAGAAGTTTTCACAATCAACAACATCATTTTCATCACTATTTTGCTTGTAGTTTTCTGGGAGGCGCAACGACTCAGCAGGGCACTGAAATGAAACTTTGCGGTTTAGATCCATGGTAATGATGCTAGGATGATGACCACAAATAGAACAGTTGAATCTGTATTCATGACAACTTAAGGCATCAAAATGAAGAAAAGCGTTGAGGATCGTTCGACCATTTAGCTTCGTTTTTAGACTTCGTTCCAAAAGTTCAGTCGCACTACCAACGGGGATGTGACATTGAAGACAGTCTCTTAAATAGATACACACGTCCAATCCAATGAGAAATGTATCATTATAATTATGCACACCTTCGGTGTATTCTTGATAGCGGAAACACATACCACAAGATTCACATTTAGAGAAATAAGTTTCTACGTTTGTTATAATAGAATCCATTGTTACCACAGTGGCCTTTGTGGTAATTCATATAGGCTTGCTTAGACGAATATTACAAAACGGACATTCCTTTTCCATGGGTGTGTATCTCCGAGGAATGGCTTTTGACTTATCACAATTAGCCGACAGGGGGACTTTCTTATGATCTTTTAGGTATTTGCACATGTTTGCAACAGTATCTTCGTCAGCGGGTGGATAAAAAAGTTTACTTTGCACACAAATTTGGTCTACATCCGACGGTTGTTCTTGCTTTGGAACTCCTAACTCATCGTCGTCTTCAACAACACCACGGAACTGCTCCAACTTGTCGATACCTCGCAAATACCACAAACAGATAGCCTTATGTGTGCAACTACGTTTACGACAGCAACATCCACAATCCAGATATCCATTCTTTAGATCGCAGGTTACGATAACCCTTCCCAATTTAGAATAGTAGTGAACGGCACCATCATATACAGAAAAGTGGATATATCTTTCACCATCTTCAAAACTTACAATTAACACTGCATTATTTGACAATGCCGCTTCGGATAGTGAAATGCATTGGTTAATTCGTTCTTGTTTTAAAATTTTGAATGTTCCTTCCTGCGAAAGGTCGTTAAGATCACTTTCCCGAAGGTGAACCTCTTCCTTATATGTTGTATTCACACCTACTTCCCTAATGTGCTGACACTCAACGGCATTCATTCCACTTCTCCACTCAACCTCCATATAAACTCGGCAACTATTGTTTTCACAAAATGGAGTTTGTTTACCGTTCACATCACTTAGAGGCCGAACACATTTCTGAACGTGAACTGGACAAGCTACGCCTCCATGAGAACTCTTGCGAACCATATATAACCCCTTCGTCTCATCAATACAAACATTAGTTGGAACTATTTCTTTGTGAATGTCCCTTTGATGCCTCAGTAGACTTCGGACATCCATGACCTTTTTGCATATTGGACACTCTTTCCTTTCTGATTTTTGCCTGTTGGGTTTTGGTTCATTGACTGGCTCTGTATCAAACGTGGTATCTTCCTCTTCCAAAAGCTTTGGGCTTATGGGTGTCATTTCCACGTCACTAATATCGGGTTTCAAATGACTTTCAAGGTGTTTGGCAAATCTGTTGCGATTTATTACTCTCTTTTGACATTTTGGGCAGTGGTAGTGAGCTCGTCCACAACCATTTTCATCATGAGAAAGTTTGCAGGGAAAACACGACTGGTCATCTACAACAACAACTCTACTCTTAAAGTGCCTTCGACACTTGTACGCATTATCAAAAGACTTCTCACATAGCATGCAATGCTTGTGTGTCGCGCAGGTGTTATGGGACGGTAAAATAAATTCTGAACAGTTGATGAAGTAGTTTTGATGGTCATCTGACATAGTGTACTAAAGAAATTAATGAGTGACACTTTAGTACATATTTTTGTGTGCTTTTCACATGCATTAAGAGGGTGTGACAGAGATGTATATCGGGCAGACGTGCATTGCATCGACGATAAGTAGCATTTTCATTATTTAATGGTACTATTTTAATGGTATGAATAAATTAATGGTCTTAATTTAAAACATATAAATTATCCACAAAAAAACCCAAAATAAATAAAAAATAAATAAACAAAATAAATAAATATATAAATAAATATATTAAAAAAATATTTAAATAAATAAAAATATATAAATAAATGTAAATATAGTTATATAAGTATATTTTTCAGTATATTTGTATTATGTGCGGAAATTGTTACCATTTACGGCTCAAAAATTGGTGAAAATATGCAAACTTCGCAAGGGCTATATTTTCTGTATTTTACAACATTTCCGTAACCAAAATTTGCAATTTTACTGATTTTAATAAGTTCTTTACGGGAATTTCCTTTTTTTTGCCTAAATCAAAACTTAGTCTAACATGCAAGTTGTCTATTCCGCTCGACTATTTAAATCAAAGAAAGCGCATGCTCAGTGTGTAGCCCGCATGCAGAGGTTGCCCGTGTCCGATCTAACCCTCTTTAAAATAGGGAAGGAATGAATAGCGCTGGAAATCGCTTAAACTTGTACACATAGCCGTAAACAATTGTCGATTTTTATGTGTTTCTTTCAAGTAAAATCGTTATAGCTTTTAGGTAGGGTATTTAAGGCTAAAATCAGCAGTTATGTGCAAAACATCGATCGGAAAAGTTTAGTCATAAAATTTGCAACGGGTGGCGCCCAAAAACTGGAATTACACCAATTTGCATCCAAGCACAAACCGCAAACATTTTCGCACATTTCTTTACGTTTGAAACGGGATGTTTTACCGTTGGAAACTGAAATGTATTCACCGCTCAGGTGACGTGTCGCAGTGAGAAGCTTTAAGGTAATTCCACAGTTTTGCATTGCGCACTTTTACTGTGCACATCCTATAACTTATAATTTCATCCATTATATATACATACCGTTTAAAATAAATAATTTTATGACAATTTTATGTTACTTCAAAACATCTTTGGTTACATTCGTGCAAAGAATTACGTTAAAATCAATGTTTTCAAAAAAGGCATACAAAAGTGTAGCTAGGGTTCCCTGTGTCTGTAGTATATTTATTTACTTGTATTTCACGTTTTAATGCCACAATTCCCTAAAAAGATCGGTGACCCCCGTTTTTTAACTGATAATTTATTTCTTTAATGTATTTTACATTTCATACCCGAAATTAAAAGAAAAATCATTTCTGGATCTTGAAAAAAAGATCCTTTATTGATGCATGTTCTCCGGCAAAGAAAGATAATTATGTAGAGAAATGTGGAAAAGACATTTGTGGATCAGAATTGTACACGTTAGTAGTTTCATTTTCCTCAAAACACAACATTTTTTAAAAAATAATTACAAGATAGGTTTACGAAACCAAAAATCTGCGCTAAAAATGTCAATAAATATCGGGCTGTTGTGATTTTGCTGTTACTCGCAACAAGTGTCAAGATGGCACCATATTGGGGTAAAGGTGGTATATTGTGATTGTCATATCTTCTTAACGAGTTCGGTGACCCCGACTTTTTTGTATGATTTTACTTTAAGTATATCATAAACTTCATGCCTGGGAAGTTTCAGCACATTGTCATTTCGGGAACAATTACTGCGGAATTACCTTAAGCTATTTTTGGTGCAACTTTCATGTTTTGATGTGCCTCTGTGCATGTTTCAATATTTCCAAGCCGATGATAATATGTTCTAGTCACAGAAAGTATGAATATAAACAAGTTTGGTCGCTCTTACAATATTGTGAGCTTGGAAATACTGAAACGTGCACGAAAGCACATCAAAACATGAAAAATAACTGAATTAGGCTTTGCATTGTAACACGTCACATGAGCAGTGAAACATTTCCGTTTCCAACGATAAACGCCCCGTTTCAAACGTAAACAAACGCGCGAAAATTTTTGCGGTTTGTGCTTGGATGCAAATTAATGTAATGAAATGTCTTTTTCGGTAGACATGGTTGGGGAAAATTTTTTGTGACTGTTTTTTTAATTGTCATAGTCTGGAAAATTGTTTTTGAACCCATTTCTTCAATGAATATGTTTCAGACAATTTTTTCTCCCCCCCCCCTGCTAGGGGTCCCACTTAAAAATTGGATAGGGGGATGGCCTTAGGAGATTGAAAGTTAATAAAAACCTTCCAAATTTGCACCCTATGATATCAAATTACGTTTCAATTGGGCTTCGGTGGGTTCAATTCCCGCTGTGGATGTTATGATATCCATGTGAAAAGAGTTAGTCAACGCTCTGCCAAAAGTCGTGTGTTTTCTTCGAGTAATCTGCTTTCCTCTCACAGGGAATGTTTATACAGGGTTGGTTGGGATTAGCCCCTAACCCGGGATATTAGCCCTAAACCGGGATATTAGCCCTAAACCGGGATATTAGCCCTAAACTAGCCCTTCCGTCTTGTGCTCCGTGTTTAGACATGGGTCATAAGGTGGCTGCCACGAGAGGCGAACCTAGAAAGCCTTCCACTCGATCACCGCGCGTACACCCTACTTACACCCCCCTCCTCCCCGCCATAATTATAAAATTACCCATAGTATCGATATTATGCAGA